GTGCCAGAACAGAGCTGGAATGAGTCTATCTGTTTTGAATTGGTATAACTCTCTAATTTAGCCAAAAAATTCTAATTCAGTAATATCCTCCATATTATCACAGTAATCAAAACAAAAATTAATTGTGGAATAAATATTTTAATTTCTGAAAAACGAGCTAAAATTTATGTTAAATGTTATAAATTGAATTAATAATATTAAAATATTACAGAAACCTCCCTGTTATAATACAACACTTATTTCATGCAATTATTATAATCCGTAAGAGTAATTAAATTTACTTTTAAAATCCTTTTTTCTAAATTAAAGAACAAATGATGCAGGAAATATACTTATTTATGAGAAAGGGCAGCGATGCCGTAAAGATTCTGAATGTACTTGGTATAAAAATTCAAAATGTGAAGTAAAGACTGGACTTTGTTTAGCACCAAAGGATGCTAAAGATCCAAAAATTAAATAGATATGAATTATTCTATAAAATTTTACGTTATTTACTCCCATGTAAACAGTCCTTAAATTTTCTATATAAAGTAAATTATCTTGTTAATTGTTAACGAAGTCATTTATTACTAATTATAAATTCTGTAAGGAATTGGCGGTTCTTAAAGAATCACCATCGCTTATCCGAATATCCTTAGTCGGGTTTAAATCAAAAATCTTGATGTGTCAGTCATTTTACGGTTCCGGATATTCAAATTTTGCAAACTTATATTAGAAAATTTCATTTCTTGTGATATGTACCTATTATAACGAATAATAAAGTTAACAACAAATATTAATTGTATAAAATTTACTCTACTAAAATTTAAATATAAAAGACTAATAATATCACGTTAATTTCTGCATGCTATAATATATTTTTATTTTAATAAAATTATATTTCAATACAATTGCAAAAGTTTTAGCTTAAATAAAGCTACATATGAATTTTTTAAAAGAATTTTCTATTTACTAAATAGGTTGTTTGGGAAAAAATATGGTTAAATAAAAATAATCATTTAAACGACTTAATTTTAGTCGAAATTCTACCAACTACTATATACAATTTTTTAGTTTTTAAATAAACTTCAAATATTCTTCACAAAATATTGCAGCACTCATTATTATGACGAGCATGTTTTTTGTTGAATTTTTTAGTTTCTTTCTCCATGTGCTCTTTGCGGATCTGTTCCTCTATCTTTTTCTTTTGTAACTCTTCATCTATCAACTGGTCAGGGGTCTATTAATTATTTAAATAAATTTACCGAAATTATTATTTTAAAATATTATTTATCTAGATTGATATTGTAGGCTCCTAATCTTCTCTCAAGGTAATATTGACTTAGAGATACATAATGCGGATTTTATTAAATGCCGAATCCTATTTAGAATTATTCACTTTGAATCTAAAAGTTTCTTACTTAATCTCACTTCCTCCCATTTAACAGACCAGTTAATCTAAATGATTTAGCACTCATTTTAGAGTTATAGACAAAAATTTAAAGAATAAGAAAAAAATGAAGAAAATTTATAAATCTTTCAAATACTAGAAAATACCTAGATATATCGGTAAAAAATATCGTCCTAAAAACTAGATTATATAAGATATAAAGCTAAATAGATTATAAAAGAATATTATAGACACCAAGATTGTAACCTAAACAAAAATAATATTTACTATAGGAAACCTAAGTAAGCTTATAACCTCTATCTCGGTGTTAAAACTTGGAGTTTTATTTCAGATTATTAAATTAATTTTTTATTTAATTCTTATAAAAATCACCAAGTGATAGTTGAGTTGCTGAATTGGACCGTTGTGATTCTCATAATGCTGTACGGAATTCACATTGTCAAGGTTAATTTCGATAAGCTTAATTATTAACAAAATATTATTATAAAATAAAATAAGTCTTTATATAAATAGAATTTTAAATTACCAGACAAACTTTTTATTTTCTAACTGAGACTATGATTTTATGTGAAATTATACCGAGAACATCATTAAGTCAATTGAAGAATAATATCGCTCTAAAGTTTGGACTAAGTAACGGACGTTCACAGAAAAGTCCTAAATTTAGCACAGACGGCCTTTCCCAGAAAACAAATAAGCTTACTTATCTGATCATATAAGCCACTAGCACTTAGCCTTGAGGCATTTCTAGGAACAAGTGAGCAAGCAATAAAAGCTTAGAGAAAACAGCGAAAATAAGGTCACTAGTCCTCTCTTCTATGAATTAGCCCACCTGCTTGTGAAGGAAGTTTTATACGTCAGATAGTCTAGTAATCCATCCGGACGGAATGCGTCTCCCAATCCGAAACTCTCCAATATACTGCGCTTGCTTATAAATCTGCAGAGTTCACGCATGGACGCATGCGATACTCCAATCTAATAACCCCATTTAAAAGGCACTGGGAAACTGGAAAAAGCTTTACTTAATTAAATATAATATTTTACATCCGATCCATTTTCAGATCGACTTCCATCTGATTCATTCCCATTATTGTTAATCCCATTTCCAGAAGTACCATGCTAAATTATGTGTACTATATTAGTATTAGATTTTAAAACATAAATTAGTTAATTCAGAAAAATATTCACTCAATTCTTATTTTAAAAATAAATTTTAAACTTGCATCATTTGTTCATACCTGGATTCTGTACATAGCTAATGAATAATCAAGAATCAAAATGAATTTTAATAAGATGAAATAATTCGAAGTTCTCATTTTTGTAAATGAATGTTATTTAATCTAAATAATCTAAAAAATATGAAAATATATTGTTAGGCCTGTAAAGTTTCCCCACATCGAGGAAACAAGGGCATCATAATTTGGAAACGATTTGCGTTGTAGTAAAAATGGCATGAAATGAAACTGAGTATTGGAGATAAGATTAGGTGGGAGTGTTGTAAATCAACTTGTAAAGCCAATTGGTTAAAATTAAGCTAAATTTTTTAAATATATGTATTTTTTCTCCTTAACTCCTTGAAAACAGTATGGATAGTGGAGAAGTAATGGAAAATAGAAAACTTGGATGTACATAACCCATTTTAAAAATTTAGTTTTTTTTAAATTTAGTTTTGGAAAAATAAAGTTAAAACAAAATTTTTATTAATACAAAAAGCATAAATTTTTAAGTTGTGATTGAGAATGAGTAACATTTCAGCCACCTCAGGAAGCAAACTTTTCTTTAGGCAGCTTCAAGGCGATCTTTAATATTTTTACTTAAATAATTATTTATAAGTCCGACAAAGAAAAATTTTTAAATAAAAAAAATTTATTTTTAATGTAAATATTTTTTATTAAAAAATATTAAAATAATTTGATTGCCATCGCTTAATTTAGTCGTCTATTTATTAAGAGGTGGAGGAAGGGCATGCTCGTGCCTTATTAAAAAAATAGACATGCAGTAAAATATAGACATGTAAAAATAGACATTCGTATAGACATAGAGAAAAGAAAAAAAGACATTTTACCCGAAATCCGACATTTTCACTGAAAAAGTTTTCAATAAAAGGGAAAAATCTGGCTTCTGACCTTCCAAAATGCTCGAAAAAATTACCCAAATTATTTTAATTTCTCAATTCCCGCTTAATCCCGTCTTCAAATTCCCTGATATTATTTACAACACTTGAATTGGTTATAAAGAGGTTTGGAATATTAAGGAGAATTTAAGGGAACTGACTCAACCCGATACTCGAAACCCTAAAAACTTTTTTTCTTAGTGAAATGTTACTGCTACTGCAATGGAGGCCAGTCATGTTGAGCGGATCTCAAAGTCACGGTGTGACTGTAAGATCTCATTTCACAACTTTATTTAGCCATGACTATCATGTGCGATTCAAATGTATAGGGAATGTGTAGTTTGGTCAATTTATATTACATAATAATACATATGACTGCACTTTAATAAACGCATTCAATATTCTTTATTAATGCCGAATAAATATAAAAATTGCCCTTTATAAAAATATTTTTTAAATTGCCCTTTTTATGATAAATAAAAGTACATATGTACAAAATGTCCTTTTATGTATGATTATCTCAGAAAATTACTGTAATTTTAGAAAACTTTTTAATAAATAACTCCAGGGCCCGTATCATAAGAACTCAGTTGCTGGTTAGGTGACCACCAACCGGCGGTTTTATCCGGTATCACAAGACGGTCGTAAGGTTAACCATGACCTTGTGGTTAGGTGACCTGGTTAACTAACCATCAACCGGAGGTAAATTCCACTGTAACATTCCCGATCAACAATTTTAGTCCTACCGTGATCAAATATTCCACTTTATATTCGTCTTTAATTCCATCTTCCTCCCAATAACAAATTTTTCAGTTAAATTTTTATCAAAATTCTCTTTATCAATAAATAAAATGAAAACAACAAAAAATTAAAAAAATAAATTTTAAATGAAAAGAAAATTTTAGAAAAATGTCATTCAATAATCACTCAATAATTTTTATTTATTTCACTTAAATATTTATTATATAATTTTATATAAAAATTAAAAAAAATTTATTTAAAATTATTTTCTAATAAAAGAAAAGTTCACTTTAAATTAAATTTGTTGAGAAAAGCGATGATTCAAACAAAATTTCGTAAATTTTTATATTTGTCAAAATTGAAAAAATAAAAAAATTACAAATTAAATTAAACTCTTTAATTGTTCTTTTACAAATTTAAATTTATTTTTTGTATTTATTTTACAAATACTTACATATGTTTCCTTTCAAAATTTTAACACAAACACAACATACATAATTGTGTATTTATTGTCAGAAATTGTATTCAGGAGGGATGGATATATTTTAACTTTTTAGGTTCTTGTATAGTCGAAAACTTAAAAATCAAGCCAAGAATTTAAAAACTTCCATTGGAAAAATTTTTGTAATTTCTTAAAACATTTTAAATTTTTTTTACAATTTTTGCTTTTTGTTTTTCATTATTTTGACCAATTTTCCAGAATATCTAGATATAATTTTTTAAAAATTATTTTAGGATTTATTACACTCAACACAAATGTGCTTTTTAAAATTATTATTTTATTTAATTATTTTTAATAATTATTTTTGTTATTCATTCTCTTTTTCATCAATTACTGATTCAAAGGATATTGAAAAAATTGTGGAAGAAAATAAAAATGAAGAAAAAATATTTTTAAATGATAAAGATCCTGATAGGCCTTTAATGTTTTCAATTTTTAATTTTTTTAATTAAAAAAAAATTAAAAATAAAGGTGTTATCGAGGAATTAAATATTTAATTGGCCAAGAAGAAATTGACGATAATATTAGCTGTAAACGAAATTTTCTTGAAAAAAGTGCGGGAATGGATAAATTTTGTTATAAATTTACTAGTAATTCTGGTAGGTAATATTTTTGTTTAATTTAAAAATTAATAAAAAAGGGGGAACTGAATTTGTGAAGCGTGGATGTTCAGTAATGTTTTGTACTGTAAGTTTTTAATTTGAAATATTTTAAAATAAATTTAAGCCTCTTGGGGAAGGCTGCACAAAAATGGAGTTTGAAGGTGTAGAGGGTGAAATGTGTTGCTGTTCAGATACTTCTTATTGTAATAATGCAAAAACATTTAAAATTAATATTTATTTTATTTTTCTTTTAATATTTTATTTTTTATTTTTGTAATAAAATTTTATTAAAATTTTAAATTGTTTAATAGAATTCCAGCTGACAAAATTCTCTCTCTTACTTTTTAGTTAGAAAAATATGTATTACATCAAATATAAGAAGTGTGTGGAAGGAAAAAGAATAGTCAATTTGGGTCGATTAATCGACTAAAAGTGGATGGCTGGATGGCCAGTAGCTTCGAGAATCAATTCATCGATCTTATTGAATTGTATGGATTTTGGAGGGTTTTATTGAAAAATGGGTGAAGAGGTAGAGAGAGAGGTTGAGGAGTAGTTGGAAGATAGTGAAGGGTTTTTTAGTTACTTTTATTCCTTTTAGATGAGAGATAAAACGTCGTCTGTTAAAACACCGTGGCGGTAGTTTAGCCTCATTGTAGAAAATTAAAAGAGAAAAGGTGGATTGCAATTTAAGAGAATCTGTATGTGGTACATAATTGCTTTAATTAATTTAATTATTTATTTGTGCTAATGAATTAATTACATGTAGAATGAAATTAATATGTGTAGGCGGCCAAATTAAATTCTTGTCCAAAGTCAATTTGGCTGTTTTGTTAAGAAATTATACTACATTAAGACCTTGTATTTTGTTATGTTTAAGTTGTAGAATTGAATCTTAGAAATTTATTATCCTAAAAATGTAATTCACAATTCTTAAAAAATATTCTTTTCTCAAGTTATTTTACACAAATAAATGTCAAGAAACCTAAAAATCCACCTAAAAATTTTACTTTTTCAACCATGAAACATTTTTATCAATTAGAAATATAAAAAGAACAAAATCAGAAAGTTTCAACATTAAAATCTTGATTTTCAACAGAAAACATCGTTCTTTAAAAATAATTAAATTATGAATTGCACTAGATAGAATAACTAAATAAATTTTAATTTCTAAATTTAAATCCCAAAATTCTAAATTTTATTTAATTTTTTGTTTATTTTCCCGAAATCTTTTAATTTTCCAAATTCTCCAACACTTTATTAATAAAAACATTTTGTGGATTTTGTTTTTCCCATTTTTCATGCAAATAGATAGAAGCTTTTTCCACTGTTTTCGTATAATTATCATTCTCCAAAATTTTTCCCAATCCAATTCTAAAAAGTTTTTTAACATCAAATTTCTCTTCATAATAAATAATTATTTTAACTAAAATATTTTTATTTAAAATTTCTTTATTATTTTCTGTTTGAGAACGGCGTGGAGAGACTTGAGAAGAAGTATTTCCTTTCAAATAAGTCCCCATTCTGTTAAACAAATTTTTAAAATATTCTGTAGATTTATTTCCAATTTTGATATTCTCAAGTTCGGGGTGATCAATATACAAAGCTCTAGCTATATAAAATTGATTTTCGTTATAAGGAATACAAATAATTCCAACATTGAAGGCAAAGGCTTCAATTACTTGATAATTATTGCAAGTAGAAATTAAAAGTTTTGTGTCACCTTTTGCTAGAAAATATATGTAAAAAATATTAATGAAAATTTAGAATTAAATTAGAATAAATTTGGAGAAAGGAGGGGGTGTTGAATATAATAATACAATTAAGAATGTTAATGGAATGACTAATTCCTTGACGCTATATTCTGAGTCAAATCTTCCAATTTAAAAATAATATTAAATGTTTGGATGATGTTTCAGTTAGCGAGGTTTTATTTTCAATTAGTCTAAAATATATAAAAGCTTTGGTAATTACTAACAGAAAATTTAGGAGATTTATCCAAATCCCTTTTATTAATTAGGTAAAACTTTTAAAAATTTAAAAAAATAAATTTAGACAAACCCAATTCCTCATAAATATTTGGGATATCTTTAAATGTCTCGCTCCCAATTTTATTAATTCTCCAATTAATTAATTGGTCTTTATTACAGTCATACAAAAATGAAAATTTGTCTTTAAACGATCTTAACACTTCCCGAAGAGAATTCCAAACTTCCAAACCTCTAAGATCGTTAAATAATTTACAAGTTTCTTTACTTATTATTATTTGTTCTTTTTCTTTTTTAAATTTCTAAATTTAATTAAATTTAATTAAAAAATAATTTAAAATAACCAATTTATTTTTTATTTCTTTTAATCCAATTAAATGAATTCCTCCAACATAAAATAAATTTTCTGGTTTAGAATCTCCTAAAGGAAAGTCTGTCAATTCATCATTATTCAAAAATATTGCTTTAATATTTGAATAAAGATTTTTTAATGATGGCGTATTCTCGTCTATTTTAGCTATTGAGAAACGAAATTTGAAATAGCTATCCTATTATTAAAGTAAATTTGTTAAAATATAAATTAAATTAGAAATTAAAATTTATTTTATCTAATAATCTAAGAATAACTTCGGAGGCCGTATTCTAAGAATTATGTAGAAGTTAACCCGTAACTTAAATAACTTTGTTTAAAAATATTTTAAAACATTGTTTAAGCCTGGTTTTGTATCACGCATTTCCTTTTAAAAAATAAAATGTTTGGTATAAAAATTGAGTTTAATTAAGAACTAAGTTATACATATTCTATTTAAGTTCTTAGTTAAGTTTTTAGTTTAAAACCTAGTTACGATTCAAAAAGTAGTCTACTCTATTATATAAATAAGTTAAGAAGTATTGTATGTAAATAAAATATACATATAAGTTAATTATTTTTTAATTTCAATTTCATTTTTGTAATTCTCTTAATTGGTAGTAGAGATTATCTCCGAATTTAGATTATAAAATTATTAATTAAATAATATTAAAATATTAATAACCATTTTCTCATGAAGGATTTCGTATAATTCTTCGTTCTTTATATGATCATCAATTCCTTTTTGTTTTTGTTTATGTTCCAAAATTTCTTTCAATTTACTTTTACCAAGATTAGCTAAACAAAATTTAAATTTACCTAAAAAATTCAAAAAATACCAGGAATATTTTTTGGAAATTCCTTCCCAGCATATTTAAATTGATAAGTCTTTAATGGAGTATTATTTATACAAAAAACATTTTTAATTCCAGCAGCATGGAAAATAAAAAGAGCTCCAATATTATTTGAATCAAATAACCCCAAATTAAAATTTTTTGAACGATTAATAATATTTCTTCCAAGATAAAATATTTCTAAATTTAAAAAAATTATAAAAGAAATTACTTTCTACAACCTCTAAATATATCAAAAGACTCTCTTTCAATTTGATTTTTAATTTTTTCTTCCTGAATATTCCCCCCACCTAAATAATATTTTGAAAATTCATAATTAGAAAAATCTTTTTTTAATTTAGGCGAAAGATTAAAAATTTCAAAAGTATTTTTCTCTTCATTTATTTCAATCGAATTTTTGTTCAAAATTGTTGAAAAATTTTCGTATTCAAATTTAAAGTCATCTTCTTTTGTATTTATAATTAAATAATGCTAAAAAAATATTTAAAAATTAATGTGAAGTTGGATTGAGGATAATATACAATTAATTATTAGAATCAGTTTAAGTTAGAAAATTGTCGAAAATTTTTATTTAATATTTTAAAAGTTTTCCCAAACTGAACAAAGTAATTTAAATAAATAATCCCAAAAATTGATAGGAGATTATTCAATCTTGACAAAAAGTTTGATTTTTAAAGTAAACATTTATAAGTCATTATTTTAAACTAAAATTTTTTTTCAAAAATTATAAGCTTCTAAAATAATGCTTTATGATTAGGGACCGGATTTTTAGGTTGTAAAAACCTTAAAATAGGTACCTAAATAGGTTGTAAAAAATCCCGAAATAGGCTACAAAAACTCGAAAAGAAGTGACAAAAATAGAAAATAGGTTGCAAAAAAAGGTCGACATATGGGGTAAAAAAAGCAAAAATAATGAATATTTTATATTTTCCGTTTAAAAATTCTATTTTCATAATAAAAATGGCAAAAAATTTCAATTTTTTTAAATTTTTGGAAAAAAATATTTTTCCAAAAATTGAAAAAATTTTGGGTGATAAGAAAAATTGTCAAAATTTTTAAAAAATTTTAAGTTTTTACAAAAAATTTTGAAATTTTTGATAAAAAATCATATTTTCCTTAAAAATATCCAAAATAGATGACAAAAACGCAAAAATCTTCAAAATAGGTTAAATACAACCTATTTTAGGTTTCAAAACGCCAAAATAGGTACCAATAGGTGATATAAGTCCGCGTAAACAAAAGATTTTCAAAAAATAACAACGGATTTGAGCTCAATTCATCATAACTAGTTCGCAGAAAAAATAGGTTATAACCTAAAAATCCGGTCCCTATTTATGATTATTATTAATATGTGTCCGTCATTTTAATTTAGTTAAAATATCAACCAAAGAATATTTATATTTTACTTACAACAAAAAAATGTTTTGTCAATAAATTTGCCAAAATTGTGTTCATTTTAAAATTATTAGAATCAAAATTCGTTGAAATAACCAATGCTCGTTTAGTTATTTTATTTTTTTCAGAATTATTTATTTTCTTAAACAGAGGTTCTTCTTCAAGTAAATCTTCTTCTTCAACAATAGTTTCCAATTTTCTTTTAAACGTTCCATTTGCAATTGAAATAATTAAAAGAAAAATTAAAATTAAATCAAAAAACATTTTAATTAAAAGAAAATACTTTTTAATCTGAAAATTAAATCCCTTTATAGTAAATACAAAGGTAACAACGCTCAAGGGAAATTTATCATCATTTCGGTTTTATTTTAAAGTCATGGAAAATTTCCGGTCTTGGGCATCTTAAACTATTATACAATAATTAGGAGATAATATTTGTTTTTCATAATAAGAATTTTCATTTTATAAATTTTAAATAAATTTTTGTAACCTAATAATTCTTAATTCTATTGAAACAGTAGTATGTTTCCAGAGAAAGTCAATATTATTATTACAAAATTTTATTTTAACAATAAAATATTTCTTAAAATTAATTTTAAAATTTTTGGGGATTTTAACTATTTTATATAGACTTTTATTTAAAAATATTTTTATTTAAGTGCAAGTTATTTCTTAAAGGAAATCAAAGTGCCAATAAACAATTTCTCTTTTAAAAATACCGCTAATCAATCTTATTAATAAAAATGTCTCTTCACGTGAAATAATTAATTAATTTGTCTAAAAATACATATTTAAATAAATTATTAAAAAAATATTTTTTGAAGAAATAATTGTTTATTTTAAGAAAAGGTCAATCTAACAATGATTTATTATAACAATTCGACAAAGTCAAAGTATGAATTATTTGCAAATACTCCCCAGATATTTTATTTGAAATGGGAAACTCGAAAAAGTTTAAAAAGCGCCATTTCATGTAGGAAAGGAAATCTCTGATATAAATTCCAAATTATTTTTTAAATCAATTATTAATTTAATTTTTTCTTAAAATCTATTTACATCAAAAATAACATTTAACATTTTGTCGGTCCAAATATTTTTAATAAAATTAATCATAAAAAATATTTGCTCTTTTAAAGTTTAAAATATACATATTTAAATATAAAGTGTAGGAACGATTACTAACATAAGAGATGATTAAGAATCTCGTAGGAGTGATATTTTTATTCAACATTTATTTTTTGAATAAAAAATAAAAAAGAAAAAAAACCCCGTTTATAAAATGTTCAAAATTTCTTTTAAAAAATCATTTTATAAAATAAATTATTTTTAAATAATTATTTTTGTAAAAATATCCCCAACCCTTGCATTATTTTGTTTTATTATTTGCCTAAAATTTCAATCAAATTTCTATCTATAATTTATTTTTAAGCAAAATAAATTTTGGTATCATAGTATTAAATTTGACACTATTTTTACAGAAAGCTATTACTTTAAATTTATAATTATTTAAAAATAATTTATTTATTTATTAGATTAAAATAAAATAATGAATAAAATATGCTTAGCATCTATTTTTTTAATTTTTATTAATAACTCTTTTCGTTGTACTCTTTGTCTTTCGTTTGAATATAATAAAATTGAATCAAAAGCTGACGAAAATACTGAAGAAGGCAAAAATGTTAACAATAATTCTAGTGTACAGTTAATTAAATATTTTTTAAATTAAAAATAAATTTTAATTTTTATAGATGTCATTTTGGTGGAGGTGCTGGAGTTTTCAATGGGAAAACAGTTATAGATTGTACTGATAATACTGTTTGTCTTAATTTTACTGCTTCTCTAAATCATACAGGTAATTAATTTAAATAAATTTTAATTTAAATTTTTCAAAATTTTCTAGAAAGTAATAATACTTTCATCAAAGCATTACATACTGGAAACAACAAGGATGTTGCTTATGGTTGTCTTGCTGAAAATCTTTGCGTAATATTTATTTAAAATTTTTTAAAATAATTTTAAATTAATTTTTAAGCCATTGAAGAATGCTTGTGGTAAAGGGGAATATAAAGGTGAATGGGGGGAAGTATGTTGCTGCAATACAAATCTGTGTAATGGTGCTCAATCAAAAGCTTCCTTATCCTTTTATTTTCTTTTTGCGTTTATTCTTTTACCTTTTTTAATTGGTCCACTAATAAATAAATATTTATGTTAGTAAATACATATCTCCTTGACTAAACTTATGTATTCTCTTATTATTTGTTTAATTTGTCAATTTTTAATCAAATACATATGTATCTGAATGTGAAATAGAAAGTAATATTTACTTAAATTAATTTTTATTTTTAAATGAGTAATAGATTCTTTAACAAAAAATTTTTTTAAATTAATCAAATAATTTATTGAGTTTTAGTCGATTGTAGTAAAAGGGTAGAGATAATAAATTGGTTACAATGAAAATTAACACTTCAATTTTTTAAGAAAAATCAGCAATAAAACTAGGCATTAAAAGTAGAGTTCAGCGGTATCGGGATTTAGAGAAAAACCCGGGATCGGGATTTAGGAATGGTGATCCCGGATCCCGACACGGGATCGGGATTGACCGGGATCGGGATTTGGACTGGAGATCCCGATCCCGAATCGGGACCGGGATCGGAAAAATCTGGATCGGGATTTACTAAAAATTTTTAAATTTTTATTTTCTTCACATACGACTCAGTATAATTCTAAAATTGCCACTGCGGTGCTGAAATATTAAGTTTAAGTCTCATAGACGCATAATTTACTTTCCGGTTTAGGGGATTAAGAGGGCATAAGGTAATGGGGAGAATAAATGGGATTGGGCTTCTTCTATTTTAAGCGCCGTATAAAAAATTTTGAAAAATTTGGAAGGCCAAGGTGCCAGGTTTCCCCCCTTTTAAGCGCCGCAGGCAATATTTTTTAATTTTGGAAGGCCAAGGGCATTTAGGTCTAAACGTTCAAGTCTATACGATTAAGTGCGTTACGTTCATATGTGGACGATTAAGAACTGAGATTGAGGGATTAAGTGATATATTCATGTAGTACTCGATTTCTCTTCAAATACAACTTAATCCCTGTAAATTCACCGATATCCTTCTATCTCCTAATCCACCGATACTCCTCTCAATCCCTCTTGATCCCTCGATATCACACCAAATCACTCAATATTTCGTTAAAATTGTAAAGGCAGTTAAATTGTAAAGGCCCTCTTCTGTTAACTTTATTTCACAAACTTCTAGTCAATTTATAAAGTCGAGATTTGCATCGGGATCTGATGCACATCCCGATCCCGGATCCCGGCTCGGGATTGAGATTGACCGGGATCGGTATATATACTTCGGGCTCGGGATAAGAAAAATTGGGATCGGGATTCGAAAAACCCGGGATAATCCCGCCCGATCCCGACCGGGATCCCGATCCCGCTGAACTCTAATTAAAAGAAATATGTAGCTTGAAATATTCCAACAATTAATTTTACAATATATAATATCGCCAATTTATTAATCATGGCAATACATAATAGTAACAAATTCGTTAAATGTTGTCTGAAATATATTTTATTTGGTTATTTTTGAAAAAAAAATTTAATAATTTTATCTGATGAGAAAAAGTAAGGAAAAATAAAATTTAAAGTAAAGGAAAATTAAAGTATTAAAAATCAAAAATTTGGTTGAATAAAAGGAAAATTACAATGAGATAGAACAGAAAAATAAACCCTGAAATAAATATTATCGTTATTTAAATAAAGTATTTCTTCGAAAATAACCCCCTACGGGTTTATCAATTTATTTTTGTCTCGTTTTCATATTAATCATTTACAAAAACTTTTGTAGCTAATATTTTAATTTCTATCATTCAGATTTCTGTTGGGATCCTTGGAATTTTTAAGACAGGCGGATTTGTTTAAAATTCAGTTATCTGGATATTAATCTAGAACATCGAAATTAATTTTTAGGGGGATGGGGGGAATACTTTATTCCTTTAATATCACAAAAAGAGAAAAAAAAAGGATAAAAATATTTAAAATAATCACAGGATTTAAAAAAATAAAATGAGATAGATAATAAATATTTGAATCATTTAAAAATAAATATTAACCAAGCAAAATATTTAAAGCAAATCCTTGTTCACATTTCCCCCCTCCATTCCAAAAATCATAAATATTTTTTATTTTTAATTCTTTTTTGTGTATATGTGCAATTTTACAAAGATTACAGAGAGGATTAGAAATATCGTTTGAAAATTCTGTTTTTTTATATTTTTTTGTCCAATTAAAATAACTGGAAAAAGAAATTTTTAAAATTAATTTTTAATTCCTCATTCACCTTTTATATCGTTTTTTGTCTGCTGCTAATTTTTCTAAAAAAGAAATTAATTCTTTTGGACTTTTAAAATCATCTGCTGCAATAAATGAATCCTCAGGAATATTTAATCCTTTAAATATTTTCCTTGACAAAACTACAGGCACAATTAACTTTTTAAGTTTCCAAAATTTCTCTGTTACATAATTAACACAAACGGAATTCTCAAAGGCAAAATAAAAATGATGAGAATCTTAAAAATAAAGTTTGTAAAATTTAGTTTAACGCGAATTTAAAAAAACATTTAAAGTTTAAAATAGGGTTGGACACTAACGGTTATTAACCAGTACCTTTGGTTTTCGGTATTGAGTTTTAACCGAATACCGGTTTTATTTAAACGGAATATTTTAAAAATAATTATTAAAATTTTTTCCTGTTTTTAAAATTTCATAAAATTATTAATTTTTGGTAAGAAATATCAAAATTTTTGGTTCTAAAACCGGTAGTGAACAACCCCAGTTTTTAGAAGTTTTTGAAAAGTTTTGAAACAAGGTCTACACAATTTCATAAAAATACATGGTAGAACTTATCCAAAAATTTTTACAAAACAGAAATTTGTTAAAATTAATTTTTAATTTCGAAAAAATAAATATCAAAAAACTTTTTTTATTTTCCAAATTTAATTTTAATTATTAAGTGATTAAAATATTTATTTACCAATTAATTTATCAGCACATTCTTCATTACAAACTCGTTTTCCATCTAAACAAGTGCCAATTTGTGTAATTTGTGTTAAATTTTTCAATTTGTTAACATATAATTCCCGAAGCGATTTTGTATTACAATTTGAGACAAATTGTAAAGCAAGTTTATCTTTTGCTTTAAGTTTCTTTTCAATCTTTAAAAAATTTTTTTTTCAATCAATCACCAATCAATTATTCACCTCATTTTCAGTCCAAATCTGATCAGAAGTGACTAACCCATTTTCTAAATCTTTTTTAGTATATTCTTCAAACATATCATAGGGATAATAAACATCACTATCTACTCTATAAGTCATTGTAATATTAAAAAAATCTGGAGGAACATCCCTTCCTAGTCCCCAAGTATGCGGCGGAGATTCGAGAATAAAAAATGTGTAGAGTTGTTGAGGTGTTCGATGCTCTGGCATTTTATCAAGATTGTCACGAATGTGGAAAACTAATAATGAAGCTTGTTGTTCTCTGAAAGAGTTTTATAAATTTAAAAGTTTTTAATAGTAAAGGAAGGAAGGAATTAGCCATAAATTATATAAATGCTTGGATGTAAGATTGTCGGTCCTTGGATAATTTTAAATAAATTTCATTTTTTAGTAAATTAAAAAAAAGATATAGAGAGACAAACCGACAACCCTACTTGGATGGTATTCATTTGGGGAATAATATATCTGAATTTCTCTATTAAGATAGTCGAAATATTTTTAAAAAACAGAAATACAAAACTATTTATCTGACAAGTGTGGGATTACCGACGGTGTTTTGGACTTTCAGAAATTGAAAGTATAATTTCTGCCTAGGATAAGTGAATAATTTTAAATAAATTTCAAGTTTAAAAGAAAAACATACAAAGAACGATTATCTGTATAAATGCATTTATAAGAACATTGTTTATTGTTATTATATTTAATTAAACTTTCTGATAAAGAAGCACCAAACATTTTATTCCACATAAGAATAGTTGGGGGAGGCCATTTAACAGGGACACTCTAAAAAAATATTTTTTCTTCAATTTTAAATTATCTTTTTACCATTCTTTTAAGCCATCCAGGTAATTTATCATCACCATCTTTTGCTGGAAATATTATTTGGTTGAAAACAAATATATACAAAAAATAAAGAAAAGTTGAAAGGAAAATAAGAATGGAAAAAATAAATTTACTTTTTGAAATAACAGTATTTTCTAACATTTTTAAAAAAAACCTGAAAAAGAAAATATACTTAGGTAAATAAAATCTCAAAGTCTAGTAATTAGGTGTAGTTGGAGACTCTCGGTCTCGGTTCCTGAGTCGGGAAATTTCCCGGATTTTTGAGCTCTCGAACATCTCTAGTAATTAGAGATGTTGGCGGTCGGTTAACAGAACTGAAACTGAAAATCGGTGGGTATTTGAATTTATGTACATTTCGCCAAAATAATTTTCATTTATTATTTCGTACCCCGGATATTTCAAAAACAATTTTTTAGAACCGAAAATCACAAACTTGTAAATTATTATGAGATTAAAGTTAGTGTTTTTGATTTACTAGTAGAATTTTATTATTCAGAAAAAGAGAGATTTTTAATTTTGATAGCGAAAAAGTAAAGTAAATGGCTAGTCGTAATTGCTGACTAATAAAATATTTTAATTAAAATTTTTTGTATTTTGATGATTGGACATAAATAATTTTAAATAATTATTCTACGGAGTGCAGAGTATATTCGTTGTCCGTTTTGTGCCATAACTTTTCTAAACTCAGTTTTTTATCCGATTCAGAGCTATTTAGCTAGTTAATATACGTTTGGCTCCCCCACCTGTCTGCAAAGAGAAACCGCATTTCTCATTCCTTTCTTTGCATTTTTTGCGTTTACACGTTAAATTTAAATGAAACTAAAATAATTTAAAATATAAATTCTAGTAAAAACAATTACAAATTTTGAATAACTTTTTCCAGTTTATTTGCTTTATTTTGTCTTTTTCTATTTATTTATCTTATTATGTACTAAAAAGGAGTCTACAAAAAAAAACAAGTAAAATACATATAATTGTGAATGTATATAAGTTAAATAGAAGACAAACAATAAGACTAGAAATATGTTCTTTAAAAATAAAAGAAAAAAACACAAATAGGTAAATAAGTACAACTGTCACAATAAAAACTTAAGTCGCCTATTTATAAAAAAGGAAATAAATTATGGTTTGCAATAGCTAAAAAAAAGGACACAACTAAAAAAAGCCAAAAAAAGAACACAAAATTTTGATTTATTTTACGGGGAATTGTTTAACAGAATAAATGGATAGAGGATAAAATTAATTGTTATTAATATAAATTGCAAAAATTGTTTTTAATCGCATAAAAAATTAACGATTTTTATTGAAATTTAAAAAAAAGTTTATGGCAAAAACAAAGCGTGCGATGAATTTGCCCTACACTTTACAGCAAAAAATGATTTTTTAAAATTGTGATAAATGGGTAGATATGTAAGTAATCGTTGATTAAAAATATATTTTTTTATTTAAATTAGAGATTAGAAATGAGTGGGGGGGGGGAATTGAAGTTGAGAATATTTACAAGTATTTAATAAAAATTTAAAATAAACGATTGAATAAAAATTGAAGAGAAGATTATATTAAAAAATGAAATAAATATACACAGATATAAAATTTACAATTTAATTTAAAATAAATAAATTTATTTTTGGATAAATTTGAGTTTGATTTTATAAATAAAATTAAACACCTGCTAAATTAAAAAAATATATTTATTAATTTTTTAATTAAACTAAAATTTAAATTTTGAAAAAAAATTTTTGCAAAAAAATCACAAAGATAAATTAAAGATTTTGTTTTTAAGAAAAATTACAAATAAAAGTTATATTTCAAAAATTTCTTGAGGTAAAAAATAAACTTTAGATTTAAACAATATTTTTTTAAATATTTGTGTACTTTTTTATACATAAATGTACAAAATTTAAAAAAAAATAAATAAAAGAATAAAAATAATATTCTTTATTTAATCAATTATTTTTTAATCTTATTGTCAAATAAAAAAGGAGATTAAAAAATGGGTGGAAAGTATTTTATAAAAAATTTTATTTTAAATTTGAATAAAATTTAAAAAATATTTTAAATCAATATCTAAATATGTATATTTTACAAATAAAAAAATAATAGAAAAAAAAGATAAAAAATAAAATAAATAAATTTTTCTAAACTATTCATACATACATAAATAGTATTTAGTACGTGTAAAAAATATTTAATAGCTGATTGAAGGGCTACACAAAGCTTCGCCATTCAACAAGAGACGTTTTTACTAAAAATTAACCTTTTTTCAAATGACAAAAGATCAATCATAATCAGTTGAAAAAAAAGGCAAAACATTCGAGCAAAAATACTAGGCATGTATTTAGCAGTCTTTTAGGCGGTAAATAAAGGCAGGAAATAGAACTGTTGACTCGAATTGAAAACAGGGTTAACTCAAAACCGGAAAAAGTTTTGAATCCTTCCCTGTCGAATATTCCAATCGAACACTTCTCTGATGTTGCTTAACTTACCAGATGAACTCTAAATATGCCGCTCAAGTATCTTCCTCGAATACATATGATCAATGCTTTTATTCTTTTTAAAAATATTAATTTATTGTCAAAAGGTTCATTGTAAAAAAGTGCATTGTGAAGTGTTGAGAGAATAAACATTTACAAAATATAAAAAAATATAAAGGTTTGAAAAAGTTTATGCATTAGAATTTGATAATAAAAAAGAATAAAAAAGAAAGAAGGTAAAGTTAAAAAAAATTTTTTTATATTGTAAACTCTGATCGATAGAATCAAGCTCGAATAAATGCCTCGAACGTTAACTCGAATCGAAAATTTTAACTTAATTAAAATCAACAAAATATTTACATGATTATGCAGTAACAATTACTAACTTCAAAATAAAAAAAAATTATAAAATATCAGACGTTAAAAATAAGGAAAAAAGAGGTTCTTTTGCAATTGATGACTAAAAGCAAATAGTCTTTTTGTTTTAACTTTGGGGAATTATTTTTAAAAAATAAAGATGAAAAAAAGGTTTATTTAAATAATTTTAATTAGAGAAAAGAGAGTAATTTATAAAATAAATTTAAATTATTTAAAAATAATTTTAATCAAAATTTCAAAAAAAAATATTAAAAAGATGTTTAAATCAATGTTTTACATGTATTTATTTGTAAAGGAAACGTGGAATGATGTAAATAATAACTAAAATAATCGTCCATAAATAATTGATTTTAAATTGTAAATTTATCTAAAAAAATATTAAAAAATTATTTAAATAATATATTTATTTATTTAATTATTTATTAAATTTATAAAAAAAATTATTTCCTTTATTAAATAAAAAATAAATTTTTTATTCAAAATTAATTTAAAATTTGGTAATTTTTAAGAATTATTTAAAAATTTCTTCACATTCTTATATTTGCTCTAGCCTTGTCCAAAATTTCTTTTTTAATTTTTGGATAAGTTGGATAACGTTTTAATACTGCATGACAGACCTAAAAAATTAAAATATTCTCTTTAATTTGTTTAAAAATTTAAATTTTACTTCTATACATTCAATCAGTCTTCGACACTTAAAGTAATTATATGCAAGTTTGTAACCTGTAAATAAATATTTTTAAAATTTTCTGCCTCTCAAAAATTATTTAAGTATTTACCTATTCCAGGGTTACGCCTTTTACAAACATTCCAAGCAGCCTCATAATTAGCCGCGGCATCAAAATATTTTTGTTCTTTTTCACAAATAAATCCCATATATTCATAAGCTTTACTACAACTTGAATTATGTTGTAAAACAGTTCTGAGTACATTACTCGCTTGTTCATTCTTTCCTTGATTTATATAAATATCAATTAATAAAAGCCAACCTTTAAAAAATTTTAATTTCAAAATTTAATTAAAAAATATTTTCTACATTGCTGTAAATAATCAGCCTCTTCCAAACTCCAAGCATGGGTTAAAACTCTTTTTAATTGTAATTTAGCTTTTTGTGTTTGTTTCATCATTAACATAGCTCTAGCTGATCCAAGGATTGCACCGGCGCTAACATTTGCTTCACTTTCCTTTTAAAGAAGATTTTTTCTTATACCTTCTTTTAAAATTTACTTGTGTTCCATCAGTTTTGGCCATTTCCAAAAAATTATTTAAAGCTCTCTGTATATTCGATCTATTTGGACTAGCCAAAAGAATAAAATTCTCAATAAGTTTATATCTTCTATCCAACATAGATTTATGTCTCAATTCGTGGAAAAACCGGTCTGCTGCTCTATAAGATTCATTAGCTTCATTTGCCTCTTCCACAGTTAATTGATGTTCATTATTTTCTGTTCCCATAATTTCATTATCCGGATTTAAACAAATTTCAATCATATTATACAATGCTCTCTCTCCCCATTCCAAATCACGGCGAGCACGGTTAAATGCTTGAAGTGCTGAATTTGGTTCTCCTGTATACCTAAAATTATTTAAAATTTTCTCTCGAATTTTTTTAGAAAAATACCATTCAATAAGGCCTTTACAAAAATTAAATCCAGCATCCACTGTAGCTCTAGGATTGCTTTCTAAAGCATTCCTCAACATTTTTTCACCTAATTCAATATTTCCCCGACGCCAACATAATTCAATATAACGGGCTAAGGCATGATAATGACCTGAAAATAAATTTTAAAAATTTATTCTAAAAATTTTATTAACTTGGATTTCTTTCCAATAATTGTGCAAAGTGTTTCATAGCCTCTTCTCCTTCATTTTTCTGATACATTAAATCAGCCAATAACTATAAAAATTAATTTTTAAGTTTATTAAAAGAAATATAGTATATTTTTTTATATTACAATTGCAATTTGTTGCAAATTTATTTTATTCCAATGGGAGACTTGAAGTTGCATTTTTGTATAGAAATTATAATAGTACAAGAAAGTGAATTTATTTATTATTTTTATTTCTTAAAGTTTAAAAGTATTTATGAAAAGAAAAAATTATGGAAATTTGGAAACGTGATAAGCTTTTAAAATTATTGAGAGAGGGTAGTTATTTCTTCAACTTCTCACTAGAGGGGTTAATTAATCGAGGGAGGGTAATTATTTGGATATATGGGATATGTCAAAAAATATTTTTTAAATGAAAATTTAATATGCATATCCTCTCTCTCTCCTTTTCCTTCAAAAAAATATTTTTATGGATTCCTTGCTAAATCTTCATTTGTTTAAAAACGAAAATTAAAATTAATTTATTAAATTGAGGAAAGGGAAACTCGTCATATTCAAAAATCCGAAGGGATTAATTTGACAAATGATGAAAATTGAAAAAGAAAATAATAAAAAATATTAGAGGGATATTAATAAATCCTTTATAACTAAAGAATGGATAATAAATATTTTTTAAAAAATAAATTGATATCATTAAATAGAGAATTAAATTCTCTATAAAATAAAATAGAAAACAAATTTTTTTGTTAAATTAATAAAAAGTTTTAGTTGGAAAATAAAACATTTTTGGTAATTTTTAGGTAGGTTTTTGATAATTTATTTATTTAAAAATAATATTTACTATTTTATAACAATTTTAATTTTATATTAAAAATTTAAAAGAATGTTTTTAAAAAGTTTAATATTAAGAAAGTTAAATAAATCTGAGAATTAGTATCTAATGCTAATAAATACGTAGCCTGAGAAAAATGTTAAGAAAAATTCCAAAAATATTTTAAGAAGATAAAGGAAGTAAATAATTAAAAATACATTTATTTTTATCCTTAATCGACGTCACATTTTTTGTCAGAAAAAATACAAAAACCAAATATTATTTTTAGATTTTCTTTTTTAAATTTATAATTACGCAATTTTTGAGCTCTTTTAGTTAATAACCTTTTTTGTAAATACTACTAAAAATTTTAAATATTATTTTTTATAAAATCATTGGAATGTGTTGAAAAAATAGGAAAGAATGGTTATTCATTTTGTGATATTTTTGGGTTTTAAGAAAAAAAATAGAATAATTTATTTTTAAAGCATAAAGGTATTTCTGTTTTTTGTTATTCAAAATTAGAAAAATAAAATGAAAAATAAATATTTTGTTTTATTTTTAAAAGTTTTTAATAAACCACTCCTTTATAATAAAAGAATAATATTTTTAATAAATAAATTAATTAATTATATTCTTAAATAAAAATTAAGGAAATAATTTTTGATCAAAACATTTTTCTAAAAATAAATTAATTTATTTAAAGAAAATGAAAAAAAATTATAAAATAAAGATTAAAGAGAAAATAAATTACAAAATATTTTAGAATCCATTAGAAGATATAAATTAATTTTTCTATTTTAAATATTGCAAGTGTTTTAATCCCATAAAAATTAATTTTTAAAAAATTAAAAATGTTACGAGAAAATAATATTCCCTCCCTTTACATCATTTCCGTTCAATAAAAATTAAAAATCCTCCCACATTTTAATTTTAAATATTAATAATTTACCAAAGTAGCATCATTATTATTTGGATCAAAATTCAAAACTTGTTGACATTGTTGATCACAAAAATGTAATTTTCCAAGAGAGGCATAAATTCCAGCAAGGGATAAATGACTCTAAATAAATAAATTTAAAAAAGAAATATTTATTTATTTAATTATTACTTTAGTGTCACGTTCATTATGTCCAATTGCTTCTTTAAATAATTCAATTGCTTTATTCCAATCACGACTATTTGCATATAATTCAGCAAGTTGTTGACAAATTCTTGAGAAAATAAGTAATAAAATAAATAAAAAGAGGTATAATTATTGGGAATTTTTTAAATTTCTTTCAAGTATTATTTTCGGCATCACACAAAATGGGATGACGTAAAGTCGGGAACCATACTACATATCCCTTTATAATTTTAAAAACAAACAAAGCAGCCAATTTCTTCTCTTCAGCAATATTTAATCCTTCTCTACCACCGTTTCCAACAATTCTTAATTGCAGTTGGCGTGCTTTCAACAAATCCCGGCATGCCTGATCCCATTCACTCGTTTCCATATGTAGACGGGAAATAAGCATCCAATAAGAAACGTGTTCTCGAATTGTTTGAATATCTTATATTTAATATAAAAATATTTTTAGTATATAAAGAAAATTCTTTTAAAACAATTCAATGACTTTTTGACTTAAATCTTGACTAAAAAGTTTTCTCATGGTTTTATATTTTTGGTCTTTGCCAGGAGTTTTATAGAATTTACCAACCACTTGGATCAGTTTCTGCATCGAGTACTTCTTTTAAAACACGTTTACATTTATCAAAATTGCCCATTTGAAATAGCTGCTCAGCGAAACTAATTCGTAAAATTTTTTGCCTTCCACTACTTTTCATTGCTGTTTCATAGAAAGTAATTGCCTAAAATTAAAATAAAAAGTAGATATTTTAATATATTCTCCTAATTTTGCTGCTCACAATATCTATTTTAATTTCACCTTATTGTAAAGATGACATTTTACATAAGCATTTCCTATTTTCTCCGCTAATTGATAATCTTTTGGCGCTCGACGCATTGCTGTCTCATAAGCGTCAATAGCAAGTTCAGGCTCTTGAATTGAAATATAAGCATCTCCTTTGAATAATATGTTTTTAAATAATCCCCCCTTTTATTTAATCTACCAAGTAATTCGTAAATTTGGGGACTAGTATCTTGCTCTAGTAAATCTCTGTAACAAAGAGCAAAACGGTGTTTATCATGCTTTTCTTCCAAATAAATCTGTGCCATTTTTATACGCGCGGCACGATAATTTGGTTGATCAGGCTTGACTGCTTGTAATACTTTTATAGCCCCATCAACATTTCCTCTCTGTAATCTAAGTTGAGCATTCATTAAAACAAGTTGTTGTTCTTCTAAAGGTTTGCCTTTATAACGCTCAGCTGCTTCTAACATACAAGAATCTGCTTCTTCCTTAATTATTGTATTTTAAAGCTTTATTGATAGTTTTTTTCAACGAAAAATTAAAATTATATTTATTTTTACTAACAATTCTATTGGCTGTTTGTAGTGAATCTATTAATTCGAGAGTAATTGCAATCCTTTCAGCTTCAGCTAATTCAAGTTCTGATTCTTCTTAAGATAATAAATTAATTCGATAATAATTTTGAAATTTCCAAAAAATTATTTAATTTTAAAATTATTTGTTAGTTATTAATTTTAAAATTATTTTTGAGAGAAAAATATCAAAAAAAAACTTTTAGCAAATAAATCCAAAGCATTTCGTAATTGTTCTATCGACTGGTCTACACGATTTGCACGTTTTTCTAATCGAGCTTTAGTTAAAAAATAAAGAGGATGTTCACGCACACGAAAGTTAAATCCTAGTCCTATATCTAATAATTTGTCAGCCTCATCCAATTCATTTTTCTGCACGAGTATCTAAAGTTTAGAATAAGCAATAATGTATTTTGTTAATAATTTTCTAATTTATTAAATTTTAGAAATTGAATCCAGTCGGCGTAGATTATTTGGCACATTTTTTTTAATTTATTTTAATATTTTGATTAATTACCTGTGCTAAAAGCAAATAAGCCTCAGCATTATCACTACTTTTATTTACACATCCACGCAGTAATTGTTCTGCTACGGACATTTCATTAGCTCCTAACTTTGTCTTTGCCAATAAAAAAGTTGGCTTAATTAAACCTTTAAAAAATCAATTTTTAAAGTAATTTAAATAAAAAATTGTTTGCCTGGACAGTTTTGATGAACAATACTTAAAATACGATCAGCTACTCTGATAGCTGGAATCCCAACAGAATCGGCAGATTTTAATATTAATTCGGCTATTTCCACTAAAATGGATGGATTCAAAGAGATTAAATTCTCTTCAGAGAAGATTGTATACTGTAAATAAATAATGAAATCAAAATAAAAATTATTTACTTGATTATAAGCAAAGTGAACATCTACAGCTATATTTAAATGTGAAAAGACTTGTTCATCCGGTTTATTTTCACGTTTGGCTAATAATGCTAGAAGGAAGTGGAATAGCTTCAAAATTATATTTTTAAATAAAATTTTAAAAAATTGTATGTATAACTGATTGTTCTTTAACATCAGAATGTGTTTGTTGTAAAAATTCCAATTGTTGATTTATTTCTTTTAATTGTTTATCATTTTGTTGTTCAGCTAATTGACAACGTATCATTGTCAGAACGGCCCTTTCCCCATTTTGGTTATCCTCATTATTTAATCCTTTCTCATTTTCAATATTACTACCTGATTCGACTGCACGTAAAGCTAATTGAGAAGCTTGTCTTATATCCCCTTCTGCTAATGAAAGACTGCTTTTAAGGAGAAGGGCTTGACTGTTCTGACGGATTCCGAGTGCAGCATCAACCAATCTCCTTTACAAAATTAATTTTTTTAATTTTTTGTAATTAATTTATCTTCAGTTTAATAAAAGAAATCCCCTTCCCCTTTCATAGTAATATAGGTACATATATATCCCCCAACAATTTACTTCGCCTGAGTAGTAATATTTCTCCTATCTAAAGCAATAGAGGCCAAAAGACTTCCAATTCGAAGAAATAGACTTTGGTTGCTTGCTTCAGTTAAAAGCATTGCATCAACAAATTCAGCAAGTATTTGTTCTCCTTGGATATCACCAAGTATTAAATAGGAATAAATAAAATCTAAAAGAAGTATTGGCAAACAATCACTCTGTGAAATAAAATTTTTTATTATACTATTGAAATTTCAAATATTTTACCTGAATAAGAGCTGCCTTTTGACAAATTTCAGCCATTGTTTCCCAATGCCTATTCATTGCTGATGCTTTGGCCAACTCAACATAAGCAGGTAAAACTGAAGAATTTGCATTCAATAAAGAATTTAAAGTAGATTCCATATCAATTATATTTTGCCTTTAATTTTTAAATATTTCTTTCCAATCATCTCAGAAAATTATATTACCTTATTTTAAAAAGATGAGCTTTGCCTAGGAATGCTTCAACATTTTTATCTAAGGCAATAGCTCTATCAAAATTTTCCAAAGTTGATTGAGAGACTTTTCCTGATAATAATTCTAACCAACCTCGAAGTGTGAGGAACTATAAAATTACTTAATTAATTTTAAATTTTAATTTAACCGAAGAATTCGATTGAGAAGACAATTTATCCAAAAGGGGACGTGCTCTTTCAAATTGCCTATCTAAAAGTAAAAGTGTTGTAGCAGTAAATGCACCTCGTTCGGGTATTTGTTGTGACCATAAAGTTTGGATTTGTCTGTCCAATTCTCGCAATGCTTCTCGATCTTTTAAATTTTTTCAAATTATCTTTTATTAAAAATTTAGTTAACACATTTTTCTAATACACAATATGGCCTGTAAACTTTGAAACAAGTTTCCAAATACTGATAACGATAAACTGCTATGTGGCCTTCCTTTTGGCCAATAAATAAAAATTTTTAACTTTCAAAACCAACCAATTTTCTTTTCACTACAATGAGCAATTCTAAGGGCGTGTAATGTCGACAGTTTATATTCTGCCATGCTTTCATCCCTTAGCATTGTATTTAACAAACGCATGGCCTCTGAAGAGCGACCTGAAAATACCTTACAATTAATGTTAAATGATTTGCTTCAAATTTTCAGAAATTGGCATTTTTCTATTTTGGATATATGGGTCTGTATAATTTTAGTTAAAAAACAATGAACTAGAAATTTTACTGTTAAAACTTTTTAAATATTTTAATTACCAAGCCTAACAATACAAAATGCTCTTAAAGTTTTCCAATGGCATTCACCCTCTCTACCAACTTCCCTATCACCAAATTCGTCCATTTTTCGCAGAGCAGTGCCAAAATAATCCTCACGGATCCAATAGTGAATTTGTGCTAATGCTACAGAATTTGCTTCACTCATTTTTTGAATTTTTAAATAAAAAAGGACTAAATTTAAACTGAAAATTATATCATTCAATAATATTTTAGAATATGTATGTAAATAAAAAGGTTTATTTTTCTTAAAATAACTAAATATTATATTTCTAACCCCCCATTTACGTTGATTTTCGAGGTATCTGGATCTCGACACTGAAGTGAGATACGGGTCTAATTCTTTTTTATTTTTTCTTAGTATCAATGGATATGCTTGCTCAAATTTTTGTAAATTTTTCCTATTATTAGAAACTCGAAATTTCAAAGTGGGGCTATAATTTTGTGGAACCCTAAAATTGGAGATTTGCTATAACTCTCGAAAAAATTGATTTGAAAACAAAATTTTTTTACAAACCTAATTTAAGACCACTAGTTAGTATTACAAAAAAGTCTAGAAATAAAAACAACGGTTACAGTACTGAAACCGAGGAAAATATAGGTGGGGCTATAATTTTGTGGAGGAGTGTAGTAACCTAAACTTAATTTAATGAATACAAGAAAATACATATACTTTTTTTTTCCTTTTGGTTACTATAGTAACTTAATTGTTATTTTATAACTTGTTTATTTTAAAATTTTAAAACTAATAAAAAAATTTTGAGAAATTAATTAAAAGAAACAAAAAATTAAAAATACGGTTAAAAAAATAGAAAAAATAATAATAAAACAAGTTCACTAAACATGACCCCCCCCCCCCCAGTAATTTTTTTTCTTTGTAGTATTCTCTCTATTATATTAAAAGGTTTTGTTTAAAAACTATATTCCTAAAAAATATTTTTTAAATAATATTTTAAAATGTTTAAAATCAGACAAAAAAAATCAATTTTTGTCAGATGTCAGCTATCATTATTGGCAATTTATCCAATAATCAATTACATCCTTTATTTGTCTTTGCTTTCCATTTTATATATTTCTTTGTTAATTATTTATTTACATAGTATTCCTTTGTTAATAAATTCTCAAATTCTTATAAAAATTTCTGCTACATGAACATTCTAGTATGTAAATTCCAACTTGTTAAATGATGAAACTTTTTATTTTTTTACTTTTGATGTTTATTAAAATAAAAGATAAACTTCAATTACAATGTAGGGTTTTAGTACTATTTATTTATTTTTATTACATAAATTAGTTTTACTTACCCAAAAAATTTCCATAAGTTGAAAAACGTAATACTCAAGGTTCTGTGGAATTTCAGACCCCTAATTTGTTTTAACTTTCACATTTCGAAATAAAATTATTCATTTTTTTAAATTAATTTATAAACAAAGTCAGCTACTTATTTTACTTTAAATAATTCAAAAATAACTTTATCAGTACCCAATAGAATACAACAAGGAATCCCCGATGGAGGTGACGGAGAACTACAAACTCCTTTTTGCGAAGTTGAATCTTTGGTTGGTGGAAAAGAAATTTAAAAAAATAATAATTTTAATTTAAAAAAATATTTTTATTTCAAAGACAGCAAAACAAAAATCAAAACTTAAGAATGAAATTAAAAATAAAATTTACGAGTAAGAATTTAAGAAAAAATAATAATTAAAATATAAATTTTTAAATATGTATTAGTAAAATAAAGATATATATTTAAATATTTAAGACAAAAATCTCTACGAAGAAAAAAATATTCTCGAAGTAAAAGATCAACTGTCGATGAAAAAATTAAAGTAATTAATAATTTGGATTTAAAAAATATATCAGGGATTCTGCCGACATAAAAAATAAATTCCCGATTTTCAAGAGTTGGAACGGCAGAATCCCTAATACGAAATAAAACAAAAATTATATTTTTTAAAGATTTGGAACAATTTAAAGTTGATCAACAAAAACAAGAAGACATTTAAATATTTAATACCCTATAAAGTTATTTCTAAATATGGTAAGTATTTTTAATAATTAAAAAGCGGACTGGATGTGTCCTACGAGAGACGAGATCGGTATCACTAAAAAGCTCTTCCCGATAACCGAGATTTTTGATCAAAATATTGTCTAGGTCCGGTCTCTATACTAATAAATGAAAACTGTTTTATCTGTAAATCTGATTGAAAACGAAATTTATTTTGAAATCAGAATATTCCAAAATTTTGGAAATCCCGGAATTTTTTTATAAAAATAAATTCGGAATGTATCAAAATAATTGTAATAATAATTGGAAAATTTAGGAAATTTACGTTATTTTATTTAATATTTATTAAATAAATATTATTTATAAAAATATAAAATCAAAATTAGATAAAGATAAATTCAAAACAGTATTGGATGCAATGGAATTAATCAGTAAAAAGTAAATAATTAAAATTAAAAAATTATTACATATTTTTTAATTTAAAGAACATGTGTTTCCTTCGTTAATATTTATAAAAATTTTAAAAAATATAATAGAAAGGTATTTAATTTTAGAAAAAAAATTTTTAATTTAATTTTTAAGGATCATTTAACTATTATTAATGCACCTGGGTAAAATTCAAAAATAAATTAAAAATCAAATTTAAATAAAAATTAAAGTTGTCGTTCAGCTATCGGTCGAAATCCAGGACAAAATTTTTTACGTTTAGAATTGGGACAAATAAAGCTGAATCCAAAAACGAAAATGTTGATTAGAAAAACGTGTGTTAAACGCCGAATTGTTTTGCACGAAGTAAATTATTTATTTAATATATATTGGTTAACAAGAATATTTTAAAAGTTTGTTGCCAAAAAATTATAAAATAAATTTAAATAAATTTTTTAGGATATTTTAAAATCCAAAAGTCCTTTAAGCATTTTAATAAATAAAATTTAAAAAATAATAATTTTTTAGTTACTTCATCTTCTCGGACTTTTCCACGAAGTATTTAAATTAATTATTTTATAATATGTATTTTTATTATAATTAAAGCATCAACGTTCTGATAGAGATAAATATTTAAAAATAAATTATAAAAATATTCGAAAAGGTTATTCTTTTTGTTTAGAAATTTAAAAATATTTTTAAAAAAATTTTAGATAAAAAAATAAATTTTGTTAAAGTAGAAAATGATGTAACATGGGGGCTACCTTACAATTATGATGTAATAAAATTTAAAAAAATTTTTTAATTTAAAAATCTTTTTTGTAGTCAATAATGAATTATCGAGTAAACGCTTTTGCTAAAAATCCTAAAAGTAAAAAAAAATAATTTTAAATAAATAAAAATAAAAATTATATAGATTTAACTATAAAAATAAAGAATGGTAGTCGTTCATGTAAGGTAAGTGATTTTTAAAGGAATATTTTCATTTTTAATCTCTCAAAATAAAATTCTTTTTTTAATAAAATATAAAAACAGCTAGGAATGGGAACACATGAACATGCTTCTGAATTAGACTTTTTATTGGTTAATCTGCTTTATAATTGTCCAGATGTTGAAAAAATGGTCGACAATTTTGTTGATAAACATTACTTTACTAAAGTAAAATTAATTTTAAAAAATAATTTAATTAAATAATATACATAAATTAGAAAATAAAATATGTGTTTGACAAAAAAAAAAGAAAATTTTTTTTCCTAAAAAAATAATTAAAAGATTAAAAGATTAATGCACTAAAATATGTATATTTAAATATGTATTTTTATATATTTCTCTAAAATTTTTAGCCATCAAAACATCATCACCACCATCACCATCACAAAACTCCAAAATCAAACAAATTAGAATTAATAGAAAAAAGTTTAGAAAATGAATTGAGAGAATGGGATAAAAATGAGATAAATAATAAACTAAATAAAAAGAAAATAAAAAGAAGATCTAAAAATAATAAAAAGAATAAAAAGAAAACACAAAGGAAAAGGAAAAAAGGTAAAAGAAATAGGAAGAGAGTTTGAATAAAATAATTTTTTATCAAAACTAAAGATATATTTAAAATCATATCCGGTTGTATATATGAAGATATTTTTATAAATCTATGGAGGTTAATTCATAAATAAAAATTGCTTTATTTAAATATATTTTGATTTCACAATAAAAGTTCTCTGCTATCTTCACGAGATAGAGCATTAAGTGGGTGCATTTCAAAGGGAAGGAATCTCTGTAGAGAAAATTTGAATTTCCCCAATAATAAAAAAGTTTTCCCAGTTTATGTGTGCTTTACTAAACAATTAAACAATAAAAAATATTTAATTAAAAAATCATCAAAATTTCATTAAAATTTACCTAAATTCCTTTCACAAATCAATTAATATAGTACAAAATTGTTTAAATATTAATTATTTAAAATGATGAACTTTTATTAAATATCTAATTCATTTTTATGTGAGAATTTAATTTTTACCTATCTAATTTTAAAAAATATTGAATATTTTAGTCTTATTATGATTCTTATATCCAATTTTTTACCTATTTGTTTTAATTATTTCCAATATTTTTATTTATTCAGCCTTAACAAATAACTGAATGGGCATTCGGTTCCTTTATTATTAAAAACAGAACCTATTCCCAATCAAACATTTTCCATTATAATAGGTGGTTGTTTAGGGAATTTAATTTTTACATTAAAAATAATATTTATTTTCAACTTTACATTCGACATTTTTAAAATAATTATTAGGTCAAACCAGTTACATGATTTTGAGCTACAGCAGTCAAAAATATGGTCAAGTTATCAAGCATATTTCCATAAAAATTTTTAATTAATTTATTAGATTATATTTTAAAATTATTATTATTATTACTTGAATTGCAGTGACAGTTTTCTAAACTTTATATATATTACAACAAATTTGTATTCTGGAAAATTTTTTGTGACATTTTATTAGAACATATTGTTCTAATAAAACATAGTATTTTAATTCAAGTTTTTATATTCTAAAATATTTACAATAACATAGTCTCGTAAATCAAAAAAAAGGAAAAACTCCCATTTTATATTTTCTGAAAAACCAAAAAGTAAAAAACAAAAATATTTTTTATCCATTTTTTAATAATTAAAAAGATGAAATATTTGTTATCCAAAAATTTTTTGCAGCTTTATTTTACACGTTATTATTGTTTAATAAACAAATAAATATACTTACCACTAAATATCATCATTATTTTCTTTTTATTTGTGAAATAAATAAAAACTTCATTAAATCGAATTTAAATTTTATTTTATAGACAGAATTTAAATTATAATACAATTTTTGTTTTTAAAAAATATTCTTTTTATGTTAATAAATTGTATTCTCACCTACTAGTTTTATTCGTATTTTTCACAAATTTTTTAAATTTTTATAAAAAACCACTCAAATTTCTTTTGTCAATTTAGACACGAAAAAATTTATATAGGAATCTATATACATATATAAATTTCTAAAATCTATACATATCATGCACATCCTTTACACACATATCATATCAAACACACACATAAATTTTGATTTTTAAAGTAACGATTATTTATATTAAATTTTTCTTCATGATTTGACAAGATATTAAAAAAAGATAAAAAAGTTTCAGCGCCTTTTAATGACCACACAACTAATTTTTGTTTAATCATTTTTAACATTTTCATCTTTTTTTCTAATTATGTATGATTATTATTTTTTTCTAACAATTTTTTAAAGCTTTCATTAAAATCTTTTTAGAAAATGACTAAAAACGTTGAAAATGGCAGAAAATCCGGCAAAATTATTTGTATTTTAATAATTATTTTAATCTCTCTTTCATATTTTTTATACATTCTTTTTTGTAATCAATTAATTTTCACATCAGAAGAATATTTATCTTCAAAACCTGGGTGGCTTAAAAAAGAGGTAAACAATTTTATGAAAAAATCTAGACAAATATTAAAAATCCCACATACCCCCATATCACCTAAACTAACCAAAAATATAAAAAAAACCTGAAAATGGAGGGAGAAAGGAGAGACGAAATTAAAAATTACCGAATTTTTACAGCCAGAAAAAAATATTTAAAAAGTCTGTAAAATTTATTACAAAAATCACTGATAGTTATATAAATTTTCAATTAAAAAATTATAACCAAAGGCAATTTAACTAACCTAATTTAATAAAAAATACATACATACATATAAGTGTATTTATTTTAGAGCATTCCCATGAAATGGCCCCAACCACTTATTCTTATTTGGAATACTTATTATGGTGAAAATTTTTTGAAGTATTGGTCAATAAACAATTTAACTGAACAATGCCCTTATAAATGTCATTATAGTGATGATAGAAACTTGTGAGTTTTTAAGAAAATGTATGAAATAATTTGGGTGTAGACGATAATTTTATCACACAAAAAGTCGAATCCATAAAAACTCACTTTCATTCAAAAGTTCAGTTCGGTTCCGAGAAATCCGGTTCCGAGAAAATTTAATTCGGTTCCAATTCGGTTTATTTTTAAATAATAGATTTGCCCAGTTTAGAATTGTAAATGTATTTTTTAAATATATTTTAGGGAAAGAAATGCAACAGTTTTGTTTTTCCACATTCGTGACAAAGTTGATCCTTTGCCCAAACAACGATCACCAAAACAATTATACACATTTTTTGTAATTGAATCTCCGCCTCACACTTGGGATTGGGGAAGATATTTTCCTCGAAATTTTTTTAATATTACAATGACATATAGATCTGATAGTGATGTTAATGTGCCTTATGATATGTTTGAAAGTTATAATAAGGAAGATGTAAAAAATGGAGGAATAAATTTAAATGAAATTTGGACTGAGAAAGAGGTGATTGATAAAAATGTTTTTAACTTACAAATAATTTTTAGTTTAAAATTTTTTATTCTTTTAAAGATTGACAATAAAATAGACAAAAAAGAAAAGCTAACTTTGCAATTTGTTACAAATTGCAAAACAAATTCAAGACGGGAAAAATATATTGAAGAATTGAAAAAATATACAGAAATTACACAAATGGGTGGGTGTGTTGGGAAAAAAGATTGTGGGCGTGAATGTGAGGATAAATTAATTGGTATGTATGTGGAAATTTACTAAAATTATAATTTGTTAATTAGGAAAATATTTATTTAATAGTTTGGATGTTTGTGACCAATTTTAAAATAAAAAAAGAAATCTTATAAACTTGATAATCGGAGCAAAAAGACCTTAAATTTGATATAGGAAATCGACCATCCCCGTAGTTTTGTCAAGAAAAATTTTGATGGTATAAAAAAATATGATGGTATAATATAAATATATAAAATTAAAAAAAATATATAAAATTATTCAACACCATATCTGAATACCTTCAACTTTTTAATTTCCAGATTTCCATTTCTTTTATCTGGCCTTCGAAAATTCTGTTTGTGATGAATATTTGTCAGAAAAGTTTTGGAGAATTAAAAATTTGATTGTGCCTGTAATTTTGTCAAGAAAAATATTTAAGAATGAAACTATTCCGAAAGACTCATTTATTGCAGCAGATGATTTTGCAACTCCAAAAGAATTAATAGAATATTTAAAGGATGTAGCAGCTGATAAAAAATTATATAAAAGGTAAAGCTAGGTTTAATAATTATTCCTCCTTAAAGACAATTAAGTTTATAGTCTTTATAATTTAAATAAACCTTAAAAATTAATGCAAAGCTAAAAACAAGTCGAAATAATATGAGATTATTTTGCAAAGTTTAAATTCTTAAACAAACAAAAAATATTAGGAAGAAATATTAAATACAATAAATTCCAGTTATTTTAATTGGACAAAAAAATTTAAACGAACAAAATATGCAAAAGAATTTTGGAATCCAAATTGTAAACTTTGTACTTCTTTACAACCTTTTTGTGATCTTTGTAAATTAGCACATACAAACAAAAAAGAATTGAGAATAAATAATATTTATGCTTTTTGGGATGGAGGGGGGAAATGTTTACATGGTTATGCTGAAAATGTTCTTTTAAATTAAAATTTTATAAATTGTTTTTTAAATACATTAATGAAATACTCCGGTGCACTCGCACACCAAACTTCAAGTTTGGTGTGACATGATTACTTTTTTAAGTTTTTAGATCGAGATATTATTTATTTTCTTATTCAAAATTAATTTAGTATGTTTGATTTTATTCACAATTATTTATACTAATTCTTTTCTTCCTCTCCAGCGTAATTTTGTAACAATAATTACTTCATTAAGAATAGTTCCTAAAATAATGATTTATAAATTAATTACCCCCCCCCTCTCTATCAATTACACTCTCCAGAGAGAGTCAAAACAATAATTACCCAAGGGTAATTAATAGAGATTTCTAAAACATTTTTATATTTTATTTATTTATTATTGTAAATATTTCTACTATATCCATTTATTTATGACATTTAAATGCTTCCTTCATTCACATAATTTTTTAAAAAATAACTTTAAGTTGCTTTAAGTACTTCATCTTTAATCTATAAACTTTCATTTTTTAAATATATTCTCTCAACTTTTCGTAATGTTTGTACAAAAGATAAATAAAGTTTTAAAATTCTAATTGATAAAAACATTTTTTTATTATTTATATTTAATTTTTTTAATTTTAATTAATTAATTTTATTTATTTCATTATTCAATTATATTTATTTTAAATTATTGTTGGGAGGAAATGTTTGAGATAAATGTTCAAATTGTAAAGTTAACAGAAAAATGGCTAAAAAATATTTTTGTTATTTTTATATGTAAATTAACTAAATTTTAATTAAAAAATATTTAATGATTTCTTCTTTTTATTTTGTTTTAGCCTTTTATTTATTTGGCAGCTTTTAAAAAGATGAATAATTTAATTACAAAAATTTTATTTATTTTTAAATTTTATATTTTAAAATTTTTAATATTCATAGACAGCAAATATATTAATATTCAAAACATTAAAAGAATATATTTATTTTTAAATAAATTCAATTTTACTTTAAAATAAAATTTAAATTGTTTTTAATAAATACATAAATAATTATTACAAGAAATGACTAAAATTATTGTGAATAATTTAGTACAATTTAATAGAAAATTTTTGATTATTATTCCTTTTTTATTATCAATTTTTTATTTAATATATATTCTCTATTGTAATCAAATAATATTTCCACCATGGGAGAATTATTTACTTAAAAATCCTAAATGGATTAAAAGGAAGGTTGGGATTTTTGTGGGTTTGATTTTACGTGTACTTTCGGGCCAAATATCATGCCCGACTCGATCTTTCGGACCGAGTCGGTTTATTTTCGGCAGCACTGCTTAGGTTACACAAAACGAGAGAGGAGTCCAGCAAATATGTATGTACTTTAGTGATTTCATGACCGTGTTGATTTAATTAATGATCTCTATAAATTAATTTTTATTCAAATTATAATTTTCTAACAAACATAATTAAATTAATTTAAAAAATATTTTCCGTTTAGAGCATTCCTATAAAATCTCCACCACCTTTGATTCTTATTTGGACTACTTTCTATGGAAAGAATTTTTTAAGATATTGGTCGATAAATAATTATTCTTCAAAATGTCTTTATAAATGTCGTTATAGCGATGATAGAACTTTGTGAGAGTTTTAAATATAAATTATAAAAAGAATCAATCTTAACCTTATAATTTTTTATATTAACTTTAAAATCTGATAATTATTGCTAAAAATTGCCTTAACTTTCAAGAGAAAATAATGCATCTGTATTATTCTTTCACATTCGTGATAAAATAGATCCATTGCCAAGCCATCGAAAACCTCACCAATTATACACATTTTTTGTACTCGAATCTCCAGTCCATACATGGTTTATGGGAAGATATTTAGAGCCAAATTTTTTTAATATTACAATGACATATAGATCTGATAGTGATGTTAATGTGCCTTATGATATGTTTGAAAGTTATAATTTTGAAGATTTGGACGATTATACAATGAGTTTAGATGACATTTGGACTGAGGATGAGGTTATTAATTTAATAAGTATTTATTAAAAATTTCGTCAAAAATCTTATTAATAGACAAACCTTACTACCTACACTTAGTATACAATTGTACTGTTTAGCTAACGATTTTCCAATCTTAAAAGGGTATACCTACATATGTATCATAGTGAGATTCGTTGTATATTAAATTCTTTTAAAGATTGACAATAAAATAAATAAAAAAGAGAAGCTAACTTTACAATTTGTTACAAATTGCAATACAAATTCAAAACGGGAAAAATATATTGAAGAATTGAAAAAATATACAGAAATTACACAAATGGGTGGGTGTGTTGGAAAAAATGATTGTGGGCGTGAATGTGAGGATAAATTAATTGGTAATAATTATATTGATAAAAATATAATTTATACATATAATTTTTAATGAATTAAGAAAAATATTTTGTAGAAACAAAATTAACAAAATTATAGTTTTTTATTTAAAAAACATTTCCAGATTCCCATTATTTTTATTTGGCCTTCGAGAATTCTGTTTGTGATGAATATTTGTCAGAAAAGTTTTGGAGAATTAAAAATTTGATTGTCCCTGTAGTTTTGTCAAGAAAAATTTTTAAGAACAAAACTATTCCGAAAGACTCATTTATTGCAGCAGATGATTTTAAAAGTCCAAAAGAATTAGCAGAATTTCTGGAAGATGTAGCAGCAGATAAAAATCGTTATAAAAGGTAAAAAATTATTCGAAAAATCCAGGCAAGCGAGCTAAACTTAAAAAATATTTTTACAATTTTTGGAAAAATTTACAAGGCTATATGTATTAAAAGATTTTAAAACAAATTTTAAAGAAATATAAAACAGAAAAAATACATTTAGCAAATGTTTTTTTAACAAAAAGTTTGTAAACATATCTAAATTTACAAATTCAAAAACATAAATTAGTCCAAAAATGTTAGAAAATTTTTTAAAAATAAATTTACAATGTTGCTTTATAATTTTATTTTACATTTTAATTATTTGCATATATCAAACATTAAATTCCAGTTATTTTAATTGGACAAAAAAATTTAAACGAACAAAATATGCAAAAGAATTTTGGAATCCAAATTGTAAACTTTGTACTTCTTTACAACCTTTTTGTGATCTTTGTAAATTAGCACATACAAACAAAAAAGAATTGAGAATAAATAATATTTATGCTTTTTGGGATGGAGGAGGGAAATGTTTACATGGTTATGCTGAAAATGTTCTTTTAAATTAAAATTTTATAAATTGTTTTGTACTTAATACTCCGGTGCATTTACTAGTATAAATTATATTGTTAAGTTTTATCAAACAGCATTTTTTGGATGGAATTTAGGGTTATCGCTTTATATCTGTTTTTCTCGGAATTTCTGGCTTAGGATTTTTGGTGACCCTGGTTCCGGTTATTTTTTTTAAACGACACAAAAAATATTTTACCAGAAATTAAAAAAAATTTTTTTTTGCCCAGATAGTTACATTAATTTTATTAATATTTTGTTAGATTTTCATTGTATTATTTATAATGCCGTTATAATATTATTTTTATTAGATATGTGTAAATCTTTTTTAATAAGTTGTGGCATTTGAATTGTTGAGTTTGTAGGTGGAGGGCGAATTCTAATACGCATAGGAGGGCCTCCAAGTATTTTACTAAAAAATTATTAATTAAAAACAAAAATTTTTCAATAAATTTCCCTACCCATCAAGTAATAATTTTTGTTGTTGTTCATTAGGCAAAAACTCCATTTTACGTCTAGGAGGAGGTGATAATCGCCCTTTAGTTCCAATTAACGGGAAAATATTTGAAGAATTATTATTATTAACACGTGGAAGTGTTGATCTACTAGTAGTATTTAATTGGTATTCTTCAAAATTATTTAAAATATTATTTGTTTCCATACAAGAAGATGGCCGTCCAATTAATGAAATTGTTGAGGTATTAATAGATGAACGTTGTTGGGGTTCCTTAAATAAATATTAAATGAAGATAAGTTGATAATATAAAGGGGATTTTGTGTTATTTTTTAATTAATCCAAGAAAGTTTTTAACAGCGTATTTTAGATTGAATACAAAATTTTGGGTGTCGAAAAATGTTTTTCCAACCAAAATGTATCTTTTATTCAGAGCACCTACTTACCTGTTTTAATAAAGGCATTTCTGGGGGTAAATAATCATTTTCTTCTTCTTCATCTTCTTCTCTTTTATCTTCATTTCCACCTCTAAATTCATCTCCATTACTACTAGTGGCAGAAAAAGCCCCAGAAGAAGATGATGATGAAGTTGTTGAAGTACTACTATTTCTATTATTATTTTTATTTTTAAAATTTTCAAGTTTTAATTCTTCTCTATTTTTTCCATTCAAAATATTTTCTGTATTTTCTTTAAATTTCCAATTATTTTGAATATTTAAATATTCATTAGTCTCTTCATTATTATCATTATCTGACTCTTTTTCTTCATTTATTGTACAAAGCTCGCGAACTTGTAATTGAGGTAATGATTGCAAAATTATGTTGTTTAAATCTTAAAAATATGGAATTTAACGTATATTTTTCCCTTAATTATCTTTTAAAAGTGGAATAAATAAATATATTTTTAAGATTCTCTATGCTAATACATATGTAGTTGCTAGTTAACGTCAAAAATTAATTTACTACCAATTTTATTATTAAATTGTTCCCTTCCATCATTATCTAAAACAAAAATTGTAGTTGTATCATCCGAAAATGATGAACCAAAAGAAGAACCAAAATTGGTTGTATTTGTTAATGTTGAAGAAGCGGTTGAGGAACAAAAACAAGGAATAGTTGAATATTCATTTTCCTCTTTTTCGAGCTGTTGTCCTTTTCGATGTGGAGCAGCTTCCAATTGGGCAAGAAGATAAGAACTTTGCATATCAGAATAAATTAATTGAAGAGCATTTTCCTGAAAAATCGAGGGAAATTTTTAATATCACTGCTTTTTGGGTTTTGGGCTGACTGAAAATAGTTTGCCTCTACATAAGACAGAAACATTTATAATTACAATATTTTCTCGAATTATTACCCTGGGTAATTATTGTTGAACCTCATGCTGGAGGAGGTAATTAACGAGTAAATAAGGCATTCGATCTGTGAAAACTCTCCCAAAAACTATTTTAATTTATTTAATAATACCTCAACATTAAGAATTGAAAATATTAAATATTCATAAAAGTTACTAAACTATAACTCACTTTAACTCCATCAAGCTGAAATTGTGAATTACAACTTTCAATCATATCATGAGTAGATTTATAAGTATTACTACTATTAATATCCCCCTCTATTTCACTATTATTTTTTGTTTTTTCAATATTAGATAATTGAGCCCAAAGGGCTTGTCGTTGTCTACTCAAGTAGAGACAAAGCTTTTTTAATTCAACACTTTCAGAAGTCATTTTGGCACATTTTTGTTCCAATCTTTCAATTCTTGATTGGTAACGTTGAATATCCTGAAAATTTAAATGTATAGGTGAAAAGTTTTATAGTAGTATGAGGGCGTGATCAACAATAAAACTTTCTTATTATCTATTAATTCCATGATATTTTACGAAAATTTTTTTAATTTCTAAACAAACTCGTTGAATAACTTTATTGTTGAATTGCCCCACTCTTTGCAGTTCTCTAGCCAATTCCCGTTCTTTTTCATAATCAGCATTTAATCTCTGTACTAAATTAAGTAATTCTTGTTTTTCATTATTTTGTTGCATCATTTGTTCTTTTAATTGATTAAGTTCCTTTGAAAATTAAATTAAAATTTGTTTAAACTCAAAAGATTATTCAATAAATTCTCCACAAAATTATTTTAAAATTACTTTTATTACTTTAAATTTATATAAATTTATAATTTAATATTTATTAAGTATTTTTGCGCCACCCACTCAATTGTGTAAAGCTTCAAAAAGCTTGTTTTTACTTTTAAGGGCTTCCAAGGTCCTTGAAAATATTTAGTAAAAAAATAAAAAAATTGGATAAACATGAAAGAACTTGGGAAATTATTGGAAATTTTCAAAATTCAGTAAGTTTTGGGAAAGATTTTTTAATTTTAAAGAGAAATCGAAGCATGGAAAAAACCTCAAATTTTTTAATTTCTTATAAAAAACACACCTCTTTATTTTTATTGTTATTTTCAATCATTATTCCCAAATTAGACATTAAACGTTTATTTTCCACTTCCAAAGCTTTACATCTCTGTTTATAAGCTTCCAAATTTGCATTTATATCAAATGTTTGTTTATTTAAATTATCAACTTTTTCTGTTGTCTTTGAAGAAGAAGAATTGGAAGAAGAGGAAGAGGAAGTCTCTTCTTTTAAATTATTTTCATTATCAAAAGATGATTTTAAAGGGTAAATTGAAGTATTTGTTGAATTTAAATTTTTATTTTTTATATTATTATTATTTGAGGAAAGTGAAGAAAAACGTCTAATTATACCCATTCTTTTAAATTAAAAATCTAAAAAAATTAAAATTTCTGAAAATTTGACAGAGTAATAGTAAAAAATAATGAATAATCAAAGAAAAATTTGACTGTTATCGTTGATACTAAATTAAATACCCTGGGTAATTATTTGAGAGATGATGAGATTAGAAATAAATTTCAAGAAGAGTTTCCTTTGGCTTTTCATGAACTATATAAATCAAAAGTACGGATGTGATAAAAAAAAAAGCTAAATTCTTTCCATAAAATAATAAATAAAAAATTATGATTTCCCATGTATATACATACATATTTTCTTTTAATTAATTTATTTATCCAAAAATTAAAACAATGAAAATAAATATAAAAAGTTTTAGAAGGACAACAATGGAGGAGGAAAAAAGAAAGATTCAGGCAAATTTTTTAATGTTTTTTCGTCTGAATGATTAGGGAAAAATTCTGGATGAATAAAAGAAATTATTTATTAATTATTTGTAGGTTAATTAATTAATGTAGAAATTTAATGAAGAATAAAGAAAAACTTTAAAAAATTTTAGGAATAAAAGAAATTTTTTATAAAATTTCTAAATATATACGACCTAAGATTCAAAAAAAAAGTTTAAGAAAATTGTTGAAAAAAGGGAAGATTCAGGCAATGTTATTATTGAGATAATAGTGTATTTTAGAATAAATACATATTTAATTATTTTTTTATCAGTAGTCTTCAAACTAAATAAATATAATATCTATTGAAGTGATACTATTATAATTATTTTATAAATTTAACCATTATACTATATATTTTTTATTTAAAAGTAAAGGATTAAAATAAAAAAATAAGAAAAGGCTTGAAAATACTTTTAATGGTCATTTTAAGTCCAAAAATATAAAAGCGAGACACGGGGAAATAAAAGGAAAAGAAAAGTGTTTTTTAGTGTAAATTGGCTAAAAAATAAAGTTAAAATGTGGGAAATGTACACAAGAAAGGGATTTAAAAATATAATGTTGTTTTTAAATATATTTTAGAAGGGAAAAGAAAGGTAAATAAAGGGGTAATAAATACATACAATTTAAAATTATTTGATAATTTGGTTATGAAATCTAAAAAAACTTATTGGTTTTAAAATTATTTTTAAAAATTAGTACTTATTTTCGATTGAATTAATAATTTCTTTAAAAAATATTTTCATAAAATTTACAAGAATATAAAATAGTAAAGAGAAAATATTTTCGTAAAATATAAAAATACCAAACTTAATTTAGTAATGAATACATAAATATTTATTTATCTAAATTTTCCAATCACATATTTCCATTCCCCTCTATAGCCTCGAACAAAAAATTACTACTTAAATTTATTTGGGTAAGTGCACACACAAAAAATATAATTAGAAATTAGAGTTTGAATATTTAGGGAAGGATAAACAACTTCTCAACAAATTTTTGACTCTAAAAGGGTCGGGATCAAAAAATATTATTTTAAGAAATGGAAAAAGGATGACATTGACATTCTGTCGAGAAAGGGATTTTTTGAGAGTAGATTAATATATAAATTGAACTAAAAAGGAATGAAGAAGAAGATGAATTTTATAAAAAAATGAGGTCAGTGAGGAAATTAAAAGTACAAAAAATAAGTGAGGAAGGACAGGGATTGCGCGAAGATGAGTGATCTTTATGTTTAAATTATCCTTAATGGAAAGAAAACCCTTCTTGAATGTAATAAAAAATTATATACATAAATTAGAATTTATTTTTAAAAAAATTTGGAAGAAAAGTGGAAGAAAAGGAAAAATTCTTTACAAAAAAAAACTTTTATGCCTCGCATTATTTTAATTTTATATTTAAAAATTTTTTAAATTATGGTCGAAAAAGTAAATTAAAATTGTGTTGGAATAGTAGATAAATAATATACATATTTCAAAAAAGAATTATTTTAAACAACAAAAAAATAAAAAAAACTTTATTTTTAAATAAAAAGAAAATAGATTAAATTTCTAAAAATTAAAAATAATTTAAAAATAATAAATTTTAAAGTCACACCCAAAAATTCATTTGGGAATTTAATGAAGAATAAGGAAATATTTTCTTTTTTCTTCTTTAAATGCGCAAAAATGATAAATTAATAAACAACAAAAAATATATAAATAAAACAATGAATAATATTTAAATATATTTTTAAAATTCTTTTTTTCTTAAAATGATAGATGACTTTATGTATATTTTAGAAAAGAACAAAAGGCCTAAAAAAGATTGATTAATTGGTGAAAGAAAAAATAAAGGAAGGAATATTATATTAAATAAAATATTTTTTAAAATATTTTTTGGGTATTTTATTTAAAAAAAATTATTTTAAGAAAAGGCTGATTATTAAGGTTAAAAATTATTTAAGATAATCCTTTAAGAGAAATAATAAGTATCATTTTCTCTTTTTTGTTAAAATTAAAAGAAAAAAAAAATATTTTTAAAAACATCTGTCCACAAACATTTAAACGCGCATTTATTTTTTGTTTTGTTTTTTTCTTCTAGCATTTAATAGCTTTGAGATTTTCTCTTTGCCCGTAGGGTGTTGGACAATTATTTTAAGGAAATTTTTTATTTTTTTCACATGTGTCGCCCCAAGCAGAAATAAAAGAATAAAATAGAGGACAAAATAAATAGGGGAATTGAATAATATTTAAATTTTAAAAGATTTTTGATTGTTGATCTAGAAAATTATTTAGAAAATGAAAAGTTTAAAATTAATTGGAAGAATGACAAATTTAAAATAAATATAGAAGTGGTTTGTATTTTAGATTTTATTGACAGCTGAATAGAAATAATGACTACTATTACAACACTAAGAAGGGCCAAGGGCAGAAAATAGATGGAGGAGGAAGAGGAGGAAGAAGAAGATTTTGAGAAGATAAATGAAAGGCTGATGAAAATATGGGGGGTTATTAAAGTCAAATTAATTATTTTTGTTAAAATTGAGGTAATAAACAGAGGCTTTAAAAATCCATTAAAATTTCAATAATTATTTTTTATAAATTCAATCTCAGTTTCTAAAACAAAATTAAAGACTTAAGTTGAGCGACCAAAATAGCCTTGTCCGATAAAATAAATGAAGAATAAAAAGAAAATAGAAGGAAGAGTTCATGCTGTGATGAGGGGGAAAGGGGAGAAGATTGATGTTCCTCTTACTCTGCAAGTCCTCCAACATAATAAACACATTTTTGTAATTTAAACTGAAATAATAGGGAAACTAAAAATATTTATTTATAAAAACAAAGCTGATTCAGCTATAAAAAATATTAGAAAATTGTGTTAAAAGAGGGCAGTTATTTTTACTAAAAAACAATTTTTGAAGTTTACCTAGATTTCCGTGTTAGGGCAATTCTTCAAACGGACACGACTTCGACCGACAAAACTCAGTCGGACAGAACTTCGTTTTACCAAAACCTCACCCTAAATTTCTGTTCAATTCTTTGTGGTTTTTACTGGTTCCGTGACTTTTGCGCCGAGAACATTTGCGCCGCGACTTATGCGCCGCGACTTTTGCGCCGCGACTTATGCGCCGAGCGACTTTTGCGCCGGGGGACTTTTGCGCCGCGACTTTTGCGCCGGGCGACCTTTGCGCCGCGACTTTTGCGCCGGGCGACTTTTGCGCCGCCACTATCATTAAAAATATTCAAATAACTACAGCCGGACCTCACTATAGTAGTGTTGTCGGATAGTTGGAAATCTTAGGATATCCGGATCCGATATCCAAGCTGAAAATTTCGGATATCCGGCCTTTTTCGGTTCCGGATACGACAACCCTACGCTATAATGCACACTCTTGGGACTGAAAATCATACCGGAATAGGGTTATCAAATCCAAATGTCCTGATCCGAAAAAGTCAGCAAATCAGAAATCATTTGGGATATCGGATCAGTGAATTTAGACCTAATTCAGGGAATTTAGACCTAATTCATCATTTATGGTCCAGACCTAATTCTCAGTACCGGACCCCTATTGTACTTCTTGGACTTCCTTCAGTTCCTGGATACCATTTTTTAACCCCAAGTGATACACTAAAGTGAGGTCCGATTGTAGTTATTATTTTATTTTTTTTAAACAATGGCGGCGCAAATGTCGCGGCGCATAAGTCGCCCGGCGCAAAAGTCGCGGCGCATTTGTCGCCCGGCGCAAAAGTCGCGGCGCAAGAGTCGCGGCGCAAAAGTCGCCCGGCGCAAAAGTCGCGGCGCATAAGTCGCGGCGCAAATGTTCTCGGCGCAAAAGTCGTGATACCGTTTTTACTTATCCGACGGACTGGACACTATTTTGGGTTTTAGGGAATGTTAAGCTTTTTATGTGAATTTTGGTTGAAATTTAATTTAAATTTAATCATTTAAAATTTTTATTTTATTAAAAACACTTGCGGTATAAGAAAAATAAAAAGTAAATGGAGATGACCAAGGTATAAGAAGAAGAAGAACAAGAAGAATCAATGGCGGTTACACACAGATTTTTTATCGAAGAAAAGGAAAAAATGTTTTTTTATCCTTTCCCTCAAAGACTAGTTCATGATGTTAACCACCACTATAAAGGAGGAAAGGAAGAGAATGGAGAGGAGGACCTTTATTTTTCTTCCAACAAAAAAATATATAATTTTCCGGCAAATTAATCTTTTCATCTTTTTTTATTACAAAAATATATTTTCTTCAAAGTTATTCTCCGATATGCTCTGATGTTGAGGGAATAAAAAAGGGATATTGAAGATTGTATATGAAACACTACAAATTGTATTTAAATGGAGGGGAGTTTGGGGATTTTTTAAAAATAATTTTATCTAATTTATTTTTTATTTTTCTTTGTCCTCGTTTGTTTAATTATTTTTTAAAAATTAATTTGGAACTGTTAATTATGCATTATGCAAATACACTTGCGTTGATTTTTGAAATAAACTTTTTTGTTCTGTTGAGAATTTCTAATTCTTTTTTCAAAATTTCCAATAATTTTTAACTAACAATTTCCAAAAAAAAGTTGCAAAACAAAAT